TAGCAGCTGCCTCATTTGGGCCAATAGCAGCTGCCTCGTATGGGCCAATAGCAGCTGCCTCGTATGGGCCAATAGCAGCTGCCTCATTTGGGCCAATAGCAGCTGCCTCGTATGGGCCAATAGCAGCTGCCCCGTATGGGCCAATAGCAGCTGCCTCGTATGGGCCAATAGCAGCTGCCTCGTATGGGCCAATATCAGCTGCCTCGTATGGGCCAATAGCAGCTGCCCCGTATGGGCCAATAGCAGCTGCCTCGTATGGGCCAATAGCAGCTGCCTCGTATGGGCCAATAGCAGCATTTGGCCATGAACACATTCAGAACACCTCGAGTGAGAGCAGCCACACCCAGTCAGTCTCCCTCACTCCAACATCTTACTCGCCAACATTGCTCCTCCCACCATATTGTTATAGTTCTTATTACACATGGTCTATATACCTATCTACATGTTTTATTTACCAGAACTATGCAAGTAAGCCGGTATTGTGTCCAAACAGTACAGTGGCCACCATACACTGCATGAAAAATCACACAGCAGACGACGCTACGATTACGTCACCTCCCTCACCAAAATAGCTCCTCTCAACATTCTCCTGTTGCTGTTCTTACACTATATACACACACTATATATACCCATGTACATATGTGTTGCCCATAGTGAACAACTAAGCTAGTATGGTGAGCAAAGCAAGAGTGGCAGCCACACACACACGATGAGGTTACCTCAATTCTCGCCCTCCCTCCCTCCCTCATCAAAATTCCTCCTTCCACAATACTACGCACAACGCTAATTATAACCACAATCCTGCTATTATCACAATCCTGGTCACTAATTCCTGTAAATGAATAATTGACCACACGTTTATTTTGAAAAGGAACCTAAGAAATCATTTGAAGATTCCTAGATGAACGAAATAATGCTGTGGTGCTGTGGCTAGCGCTGTGAACATCGTGAACAGCATAGAATCACTGAGATTTGAACATTGTACCCAGTCATTATCACACTCAGGCTCTAATATAACACTATCATAGCTAAATAATACAAGTTATATATATATTTTGACATTATTAGGCAATGCTGTGGTCACATGCTGAACAGCAGTGCTGTGCGCTCATGCTGCGAGCGCCAGCCTTGGTTGCTCACACACTACTGAGGCTCCCACACCCGGGAATGTGGACCACGATTTTTTTTAAAGATGGCGTCTGTTTACAAGAGCCCTGAGGAAGCTGATGTGAACCCCATGTAGCCGCGGGAGTTTTGAATGGAACGTGAAAAATACAAATACCCGGAGGCGCGTTGCGCAAACCAGACGTGAGCCTGCAGGCGCGTTGCGCAGTTTAAGGGTTAAGAGTTCACATGGAGGAAATTCACGGTCCCCAGTTTCAGCTAAGTTCTTAAAGGATTCTTAACACTTTCGCGCTATCTGAACGCGCCGGCGCGTCCGGTTTCGTCTAACGTAAACGCATAGTGGACATAAAGTTATGTCAACTTTTAAAATATTTGAATAAAATTCAATTTTTATCCGATTTACTTTGGGTTTGTTTTAAACTGCGCGCTATGAGGCTCTCTTTCTCACCACTAGGCTGCATGGTACAATAAGTTCATGAAAGGTGTGGATAACTTCGATAAAATGGTATTTTGTCCCAAACGGGTTGCAGGTGGGTGACTTTAGCCGTTTATACTGGTAATGCTTCCCCCATATCATGTATTATATGCATATGTCTGTTTAGGAAATTTTATTCCAATCAATATACAACCAAAAATAATTGTGTGCAACAAGTATAAACTTGACAAACATAACAAAAGTAAAAACATTTCATGTGTGTTTGACGCTCACTGATATGTTCCAGCGTTGTTTTATATTTGGCGCTATTCTAACTTACGCTTTGTTGATATTTTTTACCTATGGGCACATAGAACATTCTATTGCGAACACATTGACACAAAAATGAATGACGTACATAGAAAATTAATGTCATGAGAGTGAAATAAGTATAAACTTTCAAAGCGCCGTGCGTCGTCCCGTCACCGATACCGGGTAACAATTTCACCACTTCCCACACTCTTGCGGGCGGGCCGCAATCATTATTCTACGCTTATATTCATATCACCGTGTTGGGAATTTCATTGCGAGTCCATTGATACCAAAATTAACGCTGTAGAACAAGTGTGGAGGTGATTACAATCCCAAGAGTAAAAACATTTTGTTGCTGATGGGCGCTCACGGCGAGTCATCTTCGTAGTTATTTATTTGGTGCTGGTATCCCTATACGTTTCGTGACTTTTTTTACTGGTGTTCTTCTAGAGAATTTTATTGCGAACACGTTGGTACCAAAATGAAATACGTAGCATGAGAACTAAGGTCAGAAGAGTAAAAAGAGTATACACATTTTTGTTTTTACGCTTAAGCGATAAAAACGCAGCGCGCACATTCGGTTGGCTGAGTGACCTTTGCGGAGAGCGCGAAAGTGTTAAGGGGGAAATTCGAGGTAAAAATCACTCATTCATTCTGAAAGGATTCTTAGGGGAGAAATTCAAAATTTTTCAGAGTTCAGTTTTATAAAAAAATATCAGAGTTCATATAATCATAGAAGTTTCTTAAAGAGTTTAAGATGGAAAATATTTTAAAAGACCATTTTCAGAGAATATTGTCATAGAAGTTTTGTTAATAAGGAAAATTAGACGTCTTAGTCATGACTTTATTTTCTATCCATTTACAGCTGTTTCATCAGTAAAAGACCAAAATTCTTCAAAACCCAGTAAAAGGCTGAAAATTGACAGATCATTTTATGACCAAAAATTTGACAGACCAGTTAAAGACCAAAATTATTCAGAGACAATTTTAAAACCAAAAACATCACTTGTGACATTTCTTTAGTCCGATACAGTACCTCTGATTACTGCCCTCAATTTTTCTATCAGTTAGAAAATTTTTCATCCATGTTGGCTTACCTGTCACCCCTCCAATATGTTCCAGTTTCCAGAACAACCTCTCATGTGGAACTCTGTCGAAGGCCTTTTTTAGGTCCAGATAGATGCAGTCAACCCAACCATCTATTTCCTGTAAAATCTCTGTAGCTCGATCAAAGAAACAGTAAATTCGATACACAGGATCTTCCAGATCGAAAACCATACTGTCTGCCTGATATTATATCATTTCTCTGCAGGTGTTCTACCCATTTAGTTTTAGTTACTTTTTCCAATACTTTGACTATTACTCTTGTCAATGATACACGTCTATAATTGAGGGGAAGGTCTTCTCTGCTGCCACTTTTGTAGATTGGAACTGTTAGCCTTTTTCCACACATCAGCTACAACTCCTGTACACAGGGATGTCTGAAAAATCAGCTGAAGTGGAATGATGAGCTCAGGTGCACATTCTCTCAGAACCCATGGTGAAACTTAATCTGGGCCAACTGCTTTGTTCTTACTTAGCTCCACGAGCATTTTTTTTACTTTGTCTCTAGACACCTCTATGTGCTCTATGTTGTTTGGAATTCTTAATGTGTCTGGTTCCCTGAAGATCTCATTTTGTACAAACACACTTTGGAACTCTTCGTTTAATGTTTCACATATTTCCTTTTCATTTTCTGTGTACTGTATCTGTCTCCCATTTTCAACCTCTGAATATTATCCTTTACCTGCAGCTTGCTTTTAATGAATTTATAGAAAAGGCCTGGATCTGATTTACATTTGTCTGCTATACTGTTCTCAAAGTTCCTCTCTGTGCTTCTCCTTACTGCCGTGTAGTTGTTTCTTGCATCTTTATCGCTGGTATGTTTGGGGGTTTGGCCTTTTCCTATAATGATTCCATGCTTGTGTCTTTTGATCTCTGGCCCTCTTGCAATTTCTGTTGAACCATCCCTGTTTCTTAGGTATGCATCTCTGTTTTGGTATGAATGTAAACTTGCCTTCATAGTTTATTTTGCCAAATTTGGCATACATTTCATTTATTTCCTTGCCTAGCAACAAGTCTGTCCAATTATACCCCTGAAAATTTTTTGTAAGCTTCCCATAGTGTCCTCTCTTGAAATTGAGTTTAACAACTGTTTCATTGTCCCCATTCTCTACTAGATTATATCGCAAAGCGTATTTAATGTCCAATATGACATGATCATGCTTTCCCAAGGGAGGAAGGTAATGGATGTCAAATAGCTCTTCTTCATTCCTGGTGAATATTAGATCCAGTACTAACGGAACATCCCCCTTCCCTTATTCTTGTGGCCTGCTTGATGTGTTCATTCATGAATGTCTCCAAAATGAGGTTTACAAATCTGCCTGTCCAAATGTCCTCTGTTTTTGCCTTGTAGGCCTCCCAGTCTATTGCCTTAAAGTTGAAATCCCCCAGTATAAACAATCAAGATTTATCTTCGTCTGTGCTTGCCATAATCTCTCTCATGGCCATTATGAGGTCCTCTCGTTTGTCATCCAGTTCTTCCTTGGTCCATGTGTTGCTTGCTGGTGGGCTGTAGGCATTTAAATTTATCAGCTTATCATCATGATTCCAGACCTGCAATGCCATTATGTCAATATCTCAAGGGTTTCAATTATTAACTCTCTTACCTTCAGTTGTTCTTTCACCAGCACAGCCACTCCTTCCCCCTTCCTAGTTGTTCTGGCACGTCTCCAAACTGAGTAGCCCCTTGGGAATACTACCTCATTTAAAATATTTTCTTCAAGTTTCGTCTTTGTTAAAATGACAATATCTGGGACCTTGAGCAGAATTATATCCTTCAATACCAATATGTAATTACCTAAGTGTTGTTACAGGATGAGATGGTGTCCCGTCTTCCCGTGCACTATGAGAACTGTAAACGGAGGATAGGATTACTAATTATTATTCTCATATTGGACATAACCCACTTCTTCAATTAATTTGTATTTACAGTTGCATCTTTAGTTTACATTTTTTAATCCATGCATGCAGATTTTGATTATTTATTTATTATTTCAGCTTATATCATGCATATTTCTCACAGTGCAACCTTCAAATATGTCAACAGATGGGTTCACTCAGACGTCTGTCGAGTCCAGTCAGATGTCCTCTACACGGGGCACCGCTGAAGTGAGTTTCCCAGGCACAACCACAACCGCTGATGAATCTCTTAAGCAGATGGGGCAAGGTATGTAGATATGAACCAGGTTGTGTGTTAAATGTGATATTGTGTATTCATAGGATGGAGAAAGAGGAGTTAGTAGTATTTGATTGTGCACTGTGAGAAGTTGAGCTGATATAGAATCTTGCCAGGATATTCTTTTGCTGCCTTGAACTGTTAAAGACATGTCTTAAGTGTCACCATTGCCTTGTACTGAGATTCAAGAAATTATTGCTAGGATATAGCTTGTAATTATATTAAATACTGTATCAATCAGTATTGATAAGGACAGAAAAGAAACATTAAATTGTATAATTTAGAAGTAAAGAAATGTAAAGTAATGTTGTGAAAGCAATATTAATAGAAATGGGAATGTTGAAATAAATTAGATATGCTTCTCCATCTATTAGTTCTGCACTGCAAAAGTATGATAAGAAAATACACAAGTAAGAAGGAAAGAACCTCCCTTGACTTCCCAAGTGGTAGGGCTTGCTTGGATGCCGAGGGCAACCCATCTGCAACCTATAATATTAAATCAAAAGGCACAGTAAATTTGTTCTGAAGATGTCATTATATATTTGATGATGATGCCATTTAATGAAAGGCTCTATGGAGTAAATTTGATAGAATTTGAACATTAATGGCAGCCCCCCCTCCCCTTCACTCCCTCCCACTCTAGTGTAATGCTTGAACTTTCCTAATTTACTTCACTGAAAAAATGTGCCTTAGGTTGCATTTGAGAATTATATTTTACAGTACAGTATACAAAATTGTCAAATTGCCTTTTTATTATTAGTTTTAAATTTTGTTAATTACATACTTGTCAAATTGTGTCCTTTAATGCCCCCTGAGGCATCAGTGACTGCTACATGATTTACTAATTCAAATATTTGTTATTTAGTTGCAATGACATGTTTGTGGTAGAATAATTTATAAATTCTAATTTTGCTCATCAGTATACTCTTTGTTTAGTATCTTCTTTCTTGGCTTTTTAGTTATGGTATGAAATGCTGATTTTTTATGTAAATAGTAGTACAGTAATTATACCCTTATTGTGGTGTGCCATTATATTTTAGTTTTGTTTTTCTCCTAAAAAAATAGATGAAGATTCTCTGTGTGTCCCATGGAAAATATTTTTTTTTGAGAGAGAAGGTTGCACAAAGATTTTGTAGAAATAATTAAATTTTAGTTTTGTTTAATCCTGAGTGAAATTGGTGAAAGAGAAATCGTAATCAATAATTTTCTTATATTAGAAAATACTGTGTGTATGAAGTCATACAAGGTAAAATTTATTAAAATATTTTGATCTCATGTAAGCATGACACAGTATGTAAATGTATTATATGTGGAGTGTAGTATAGATTTATATTGGTCTTCCCAAGTCAAGACCCATGGTCCCTCCACTAGCCATAGCCCATATGAACCATCCAGGACATTACATTAGCCATAGCCCATATAAACCACCCAGGACATTACATTAGCCATAGCCCATATAAACCACCCAGGACATTACATTAGCCATAGCCCATATAAACCACCCAGGACATTACTGACTGTCAGGCTCTGTAGATTTTGTTTTGAAGCTGACCGCTCTTCCTTTTTGTTTCTAAACAGGAGGGGACCCACCTGCATGTTGTGGGTGCACTCTATTCTACTTCTCATTTTGAATTTGATGTCTCCAGAAATCCAAAATCTCCACCTTTCCATTATTAGTTCAGCCTTCCTCTTGAGGAGGTGAATGTGCTTGAAGCTCTGTCAGTGTTCAGTGGTGCCTGTTGAGCAGTGCTCATGGCCTGGCTTATTTCTTAACTCTGCCTTATGCCTTTATAATATTGTGTCCTATGTCTCAACTCAGTTGGAAGGTTTCAACATTCTCACATCCTTCCTTTGCCCCTTTTTCTTTGGGGAGCCCCTTCGGCTCCCTGGAGCTATCGAGCTAATATGCAATACATTAGACCAGGGCATTAGTCAATGGAGTTCAGCCTACCAGAGACCACGAGCCAGAACCTGGCCCACTCAGAGAGGCTCAGGGAGTAATGGCCTTGGAAAACTCCCTTGTGGTTAGTGGTGTTCCTTATCTGCCATTGACCAGGGTTAGGCACCCAGAAAGGTAGGCATAACAAAACGGACTCCATATGGTAAGAAAATTGCAACCGAAAACCGAACAGAGAGGCAGAACTCCCTCAATTCCCTAAGAAGAAAGCAAACAAGCAAATGTCACATCGTGCCGCTGTGCTGCTCATCTATGCAGCCACCTTTCCTCCCCCCCCCCAGAGGGGAATGGGGGGAGCCCCGAACCCACTGAGCTGGCTACCCATTCTCATTTCATTGGCTAATGCAATCCGGGGTGGTCGTCAACTCTGGCCTCAATTTCCTGGCAGTGTTTTTCCTTAGTGGTGTCCTCTGCTGTTCGTGGTGTGGGGGCCAAGTGTACCTGAAGTGTACGAGGGCTGCATGTGCTTAGGGTGGAGCTGCCCCACCTTGCGTTTAGGGTGGATGTCCCACCCCGTTCTGTGGGCTTTCTCATGCTTTGTTTCACTTCCAGCCTGCTCATGTGCCACTTGAGCCGTCCTGGTCCTGGTCCTTGGACTGGCTGCTCTCTCTTTCTCTTTTCTCTTTGGTTTGTGTGGGCCTCTTTGGTTCACGGTGGCTTCCAGAAGCCTCTGTTTCTGTTGGCATTGGCCTCTGGGGTCAGGTTGGTGAACTTCATGCTCTTCCGGCACGGAGGTTTCTGCTTTTTCGGACATGGTGGATATTTGTGCTTGGTTGAGATCGTCTCCTTCTTTTCTGGTGAGGTGCGAGATGGTGGGCTTCTGGAGGGGCCCTTGGATTTTTTATGCTTGGTTGGTCAGGCCAGGGGTGCATCTTGTGTCTCGTTGCGGCTCTGTGCCGCTTCCTGTGCGTCTCGGTTTTTGTGGTTTAGGACGCTTTGGCTTGATCTGCTTTCCTTTCATTCCCTGGTCTTGGGGAGATCGGGTCTCTCAGGTCGTCCGCAGGGCTCTAAGTCTCACCAGCCTGCGGTCTTCCCTCGTGTCCTTGCTGTTGGACTGTGTGCTTCCGAGACTGCCGTGTTTGGGGTCTTGTCTTGTGCTGTCTTTCAGGCACGGGGATTCTGGAGGTTGGACAGGGTCCTGGCTGCCCATTCTGTGGTGTATGTTCCTGGTCCCAGTCATTCGTGTGTGGTTTTGGGTGGCAGGTTGTAGCCTGTTGTCAGACGAGTTGCTGCATGTGATGCAGCCGCCTCCCAGGTAAGTCCCTCTTTTCCCTCTCTTTGGTTATGTAGCTCCATGGAGCTGAAGGGGCTCCCCCACAGAAAACCAGCATTGAATGTAATGAAACACCATTTTCTGGGTGAGCCCCGGAGGCTCCCTGGCACCCTCCCTCCCTCCCTCCCAGTCGGTGGTTTCATTTTATTTTGATGCTTAGCCTCCAAATGTAGGTTGAGTAGCCGGCGCTACTCAACCGGAACAAACCACTACAAACAGAAGGGGAGTGGGGCTACACAGTCGAACGGCACAGCAGCATGGTGTGAAATTTGCTTGTTTCTTTGGGAATTGAGGGAGCTCTGCCTTCCTGTTCGGTTTTCAGTTGCAATTTTCTTACCATGTAAACTCTGTTTTGTTATGCCTACCTTTCTGGATGCCTAACCCTGGTGGATGGCAGATAAGGCACCTCTCTGAGGGGGCCAGGTTCTAGCTCGTGGTCCCCAGTAGGCTAATGCACTGGTTAATCCTCCATTGATTAATGCCCTGGTCGAATGTACTGCATATTAGCCCGATAGCTCCAGGGAGCCTCCTGGTCTCACCCAGAAAATGGTGTTTTGTTACATTCAACACTGGTTTTTTCATCCTTCTCAAGTTGCATTGAAAACTTTGTGATCTTTAGATTTGGCCCTGGACTTTCTGTCCCTCATTTTCAAGCATTTCTTTTCTTTAGAGGATGTTACACTTGTTTCTGTTGTGTCAGGGAGCTCTAAGCTTAATCACCCAGGGTCTTACCCTTTGGGTGGCGATATCAGTTGGGATGGCTTTCGCCTCCACCCTTATTCACGGCTGCTTCTCCTATGTGCACCCTCTGTGGGGTAACTGGTTCCTGTGTCCCTATTGCAGGGTTTTCTCTTTTCTATGGCCTTTCACTTTATGGCTGATGCACAGGTAAGACCCCTTTACTAAGTACATTGAGAAAATGGTGAGTTTGTGAAATATTAATAACAAAATACATTATAGGTGCTATAGTTTGGCCATGATGAGCTAAGGGGGATTTACTTCCCCTAGACATCCAGACAAAAATTGAATTAACACTCGTCAGTGGGAAACTCGCCAACCAATAAATCTCTCTTGTTTTTTTGTACCCATTCAAAATGTGTGTGGGGTTGATTGTGTACGAAATGGACTCTTAGGACCTCCAGTGAGAGGCAGCCATCTTGGAAAAAATTCCCAGAATGCCCTATGGCTGCTGGCTGGGTTAGTACTGAGTGAGCAACCATGGGTGGCGCACACACCTCTGGCTCCCAAACACCTGTCCGATGCGGTGTTGAAAGATCGCGCGCTGTCGGTGAAATTCAAACCGTATTGTTTGAAGAACATAAGGGTCATAATATTGGTGAAGCTAGGCACAATAAGGACCTAACACAAAGGTCGGATGCAAGTGATACCGCTTTATGAGGACGATACAGCAAGCATATCCAGTTATAACTCTGAGCGCCACCCTTGCCCACCTATGCCATCTCCAATTTATATAGATACATAGATGAATCGTTTTCAGCATTCAGTGATGATGCATCTGATACACTTAGCACAGATGAACAGTGTTAGCGGCTTCCAATGGTGGTGTTTTCCATAGATATTTTCAAGAATAGCTGAATCTCTTCCAAATTGACTGACACTCTTTGAGGCTGGCTGAATCTCTTTCAGAATGTCTGAATCTCTCTAAGATTGACGGACACTCTTCGAGGGTGGCTGAATCTCTTCTTGTGTGGGACCTTACAAAGCGATCTTTTCAAGACTACCTTACATATTGATCTTTTC